GTGGGGCTCGATCTTAGGACCCTGGAATCATGACTCGAGCGGAAAGGCAGACGCTTAACCCACTGAGCCACTCAGGCGTCCCAGGGAGGATGATTTTATATTAAGAGGTGGTATGTGGAAAAAAAAAATTTAAGCTGAGAGAAAGGAAAAAAGAACAAGGAGAAAGAAATTGGTAAGGGGAATACTCACAATTTTTAACTTCCAGTATGGCAGAAGAACAGACCAAACATATCTGATACTCAATCAAAACAAACACTGGCTATAAAAATTGGTGCTAGGGATACCAGCACTCCGTGTCGAATGTTAGATTTGGAGATGAGAACATCCAGGAAGGGTGGAGAAAAGATTCTAGCTGTTTCTGCAGTTATTAGAAACTAATATATTCAGGTTTTCCTTACATTGTCTGCTGATCCACTAAATGCTTTAGCCATGGGTATAGAAATGATCCCCTTTGACACTATTTTTTTCACGTGTCATCAAAGGCTAAGGACCATTTGTAATTAGGTATTTGAGGATATCTTTTCTACAGGTACCAAGGTAATTATGAAGTAATTGATTCAATATCATACCTGGCTCCTTTAATTGAAAACATTCAAATTGCAAACTTAGAGTTGTCAAATGGTTTTCCAGATGAAAAGCTTAAGCATTGGGTATGTAGAGACATAAGTCAGGTGTCTTATCACTACATTTCATAATAAAAAGCTCACCTGGGAAGTTTTTATTATTTTATTTAAAAAAATTTTTTTAAAGATTTTATTTACTCATTTGAGACAGAGAGATACAGAGAGAGAGCATGAACAGGGGGAGAGGCAGAGGGAAGGAAGAAGCAGACTCACCGCTGAGCCGGGAGCCCAACATGGAGCTCGATCCCAGGACCTGGAGATCATGACCTGAGTCGAAGGCAGACGCTTTACCATCTGAGCCACCCAGGTGCCCCTCACCTGGGAAAGTTTTTAGATTAAATATGAAAAAATGAACAAGTCACAGCGTCCAGCAGAAATGAACTTGGAATCCCCAGTTACTCCTCTCATGTCAATGGCACACATCCTTGGTGCTATCACTCCAGAAAGAGGTAGTCTTCTTAGCCCTACCTAAATACTTTTACAGGGAATGTGAATGTCTCATTCATTTTCATTTCTCCTGACTCCCTGGAATCCCCCAGTAAGATGCTGGGACTGAGAGAATTATGGAAACAACAACAAAGTAATAGCTCTCTTGGTTGTTTGCAGTCTCCTCTGGATATATTCTGATCCTGGATCCCTAGAGAGTAAGTGTTGGAAAGAATTTTATGTTTTGGTCTCACTTCTTTATTTCCGAGAGGAAGAGGCTGAAGTCCAGAAGGGTACCAAAGTCACAGACTTGCTAATGGCAAGACCAGAATTTTCCTCACGTTTTCTTGGGGATCACCACATTGTACTTCCACTACTCTGCACTGCTGACTGTTATATTTCATCTTGTGTTGGGTTACGGGTCATAGTGTGGGAATGGGGCGGAGAAGGGAAGCTGCTAACAAAACATCTTCAGAAACATAAGACAGGGCATCTCTATGTGTTTACATGGTGGCCACAGTCACTTTTGCTCCAAGATCTCTTTGTGGTTTACTTGCTGTCATTCTAAAGTCCTTGGGAAATGTGCTCTGAACATTTCTAAAGAAACTGAGAACGAGCCCACTGATTTTATCATTGGCAGCAGGCTATAGAGACATAAACATCAGAACGACAGTCATGCAACATAATTTACTTTCAGGTAAATAAGTCCCCAAGCAAAAACACCTTTCCTTTGAATATAATGTAGACCTATGCTCATGCTATCTGTTCTTTCCTTTTTGCCTTTTGCCTATGTCGTTTCCTCTATTTTAAAAATGAAACACGTGTTATTTTCCTTCTGTATAATTTTGTAATCCAGAACGAAACATCTACACAGAAAAGTGAACATAAATATACAATTTAATGAATCATTATAAAGCATACTACCTTCCTCCCATAATCACCACAGCTCAAGAAATAAAACATTGTCAGCACCTAGAAGCCTTTCCACCCCTGTGTTTTCCTTCCTGATTCCAACACTGCCTTCCCTTTATCCCAAATCATTAGGTTGCATTTTTGTGATGTCCATTTAGGTTATATATTGTTTCTATTCTTTTAGTCATTATGCAAGAAATAACATGCATGCTTCACTTACTGAAGTTTCTCATTACATGTACCTTTACTGTTTTTCTTTTTACTTTTTATTGTTAATGCTGAGACATCACCTGATGGTCTAATAGTTCCTTCTTTGAAGGTAATCAGTCTCTTTTCTATGGTGGCTCTTAGGACTTTCATTATGATATGTCTAGACGTGCATATTTAAAAAATTTGCTTGTTATTTGTTAGGATTCTTAAATCTGGATGAGGACTGCATTTCAAATAATTTTTCCAACCTAATTTTCTAGTTCACCAATTCTCTCTTTAGCTCTAATATGCTTTGAACCTATCCATTGAATTTTTAATCATAGTTACTATGGTTTTTTACCAGTTCTAGTTGATTCTTTTTCAAATTAGTTGTTTTTAGTTTCCTGTGCTTTGCAGATATCATTACAAGTTTGTCTTTTATTGCCTTAAATGCAGTAAGCTCAATTGTTTATTTTGGGGGTCTGATAATTCAGATATATAATTTGGGGGGGGTTGTTTCTGTAGTCTGTTGTTTCTATTGTTTTGTTTCCTTGCATGTCATTGTTTTTAAATATTATTTGCAGATAGGATTTGAGGCCTGGGATGTAAATCTTTTCTTCCTGGAATAGTTGCATTTTTACTATCAAAAGCCTAAGGGTAATAATAATCCAAAATTACCTTAAACAAAATTCAAGGATTTAGATTTTCTGGACCATTGAAGTGATTTGAAAGTGAGCTATAATCTGCAGGAGGCTGGTTTCTTCCGGCTTAACTGTAGTGCAAGAAGGAAACCCTTTGAGATCCCAACTTATTGAGGAGAGGCTCTTCCAGGTTTCTTGCTTTGCAGACTCTGGGAGTTGAGACATATAAACAAAAGCTTGAACCTGGCAGAACAGCGAATGCTCTCAGAGTAAAAGCAACTTCTGAGCTCTGCTCATCTCTCTGGGTTCTGGTTCTTCAAATTTAACCTACCAATTTCTCCTCTTTGTGAAACCTCATTAAGCCTTTTAATAATACTTTTAGACCCTTTTGTTCAGCATTTTTGGTTGTTTTGGTGTGGGAATTTGTTTGGATCTGGACTGCCATAACTGAAAAACTAGAACACTTGTACAGATTTTCACAATTAAACCCCAAGTGGAAACTCTATTTCCCTTGTAATCTGAGAGCCATAAATTAAAGCCTACAGATATTAAGGAGAATAACTGTGCTAAATCTTAAATAAAATCAAGGCAACTAGTGCACGCAGAGTTGTGGCAAATGAATCCACCTGCCTAGTGCTAGTCCTCTCACAGATGGGAGTTCTTTCAGAAAGCGATATGGTAACACACAGTGTTATAATCATGTTTAAACATTGTGGCCACATGTCATAAAAGCAAAATGCTAAAAATAACCATAATATTCAACCTTAGTGGAAGGCTTTAACAAATTATATATTAATATTATGTCCTAATATATAATCATTAAAAAGGATACTTGTGACGACTATGTAAAAAATGGAACATTTATGATATACCATTAAACGACAATAGCAGAACACAAAGTAATATGTTTGCTATATAAAGCATATGTCTGGAAGGTAAAGAGCAAATATATGCAAATAGCATTTCTATTTCACTGTAGGGCTGGGGCAACTTTTTTTCCCTTAAACATTCATTATACTTGTTATATACTCTTTTTAGGAATAAAGGGAGATTTCAAAACATAAGCAAAAAACTGTCATGCTAATAATTTTCCCAAACAATTTCAGTAAGAAACTTTTATATTAAAGAAAAGGAAAAAAGGAAAGCAGAGAGCAGTTGGAATTTATAATCCAGTAACTCAGAATATGCAACTAGGCTAAAACCTTTTCCATTCTTTTTTCATGTGACCCCTATGTAGTTCTCAAAAACACGTTTGGCTTGCTGTAAGCTTAAAATTTATTGAAAAAAAAAAAGAAGAAAAAGTATACAAAAATCTGGGGCCTTAGTATTGTCATCAGACCTTGATTCAATTCTCAATGGATCAGGTTCAGAAAAGACATATTTCTATCATTTGAAAATGATTCATCTGCTGTTTTACTCTCTGGCAGGAGGGTATAATGTAAATATATATTCATATATAATCAGTCATTTTTCGTTTAAGCTATTTTTCACTTTTTAATTTTTTTTCCCTAAACTACATTATTTCCCAAATCTCATCCGAAATTTTCCTTTGTTTGACTAAGTGCTAATTCTCCTTCAATTTCAATTTTAGAATCAAAAGGGCATTATTTGATTCTGTAAACAAAAATAGAACCACACCACCTTTATTTGAACGGTACTCCATTGTTAGCATTAATTAGGATGGTTTACAATGTATTTATTTGTTTACCATCTGTCTCCAATATGAAAGGGCAGGCAACATCTCTGATTATACTATGTAAATATATTATTACAAATTATATATTCATATATAACAAGCAAATTCCTGTGTAGGCTTTTTTTTTAAGGGCACAGTTTTATTTTTTGTCATGTTCTTTTTTTGCTGTTGTTGTTAAAGATTTTATTTATTTGACAGAGAGAGACACAGCAAGAAAGGGAACACAGGCAGGGGGAGTGGGAGAGGGAGAAACAGGCTTCCCGCTGAGCAGGGAGCCCGATGCGGGACTCGATCCCAGGACCCTGGGATCATGACCTGAGCCAAAGGCATACGCTTAACTAGGGAGCCACCCAGGCGCCCTATCATGTTCTTTTGGTTGTGAAATTCTTTCATTTTGGTGCAATAGAGGTGACTGTATGAAAAGGAGAGATTACTTGTGTGTTTAAATATAATTACTGGAGTAACATCTTCATAAAATGTCACTTTCGCTTTGTTTTCTTCCTTTTTATCCAGGAGAAATCAATGATTCTGCCAAGTCTGAGATGTTTACGTTTCACAATGGAGGTGTACAAATTTTATGCAAATTCAGTGATACTGTCTGGCAATTTAAAATGGAGTTGCGGAAAGGGACAGAAGTACTCTGTGATCTCACTAAGACAAAGGAAAGTGGAAACACAGTGTCCATTAAGAAACCAAAATTCTGTCAGTCTCAGCTATCCAATGATGGTGTCTCCTTTTTTCTGAACAACTTGGACAGTTCTCACGCTAGCTACTACGCCTGTGAACTGTCAATCTTTGATCCTCCTCCTTTTCAAAAAAAGAATATTAGCAGAGAATATCTGAATGTTTATGGTAAGACATTGTTTTCATCTTTCAGACTCGAGTACGTTTGTATTTTAATGACTTTTCTCACTAATGAAAACAAGCAAAAAAATATCTTTTGTAGAGTTCGCTTTGGTGCAATTGATGACAATCATTGATTATGAAAATATGCAAGGGATCATTTATTAATAATAATAATTAATATTAATCAGTTATATGCAATTTGATCATGTAGACTGCTATGTTAGAAATAGATCATGTTGTCTTTAAAGCGCATATGTCATTAGAGATCAGGAAAAAAATTAAGACTAATTACCCAAATCCATGGCCTAATGGCCATTGCCTCTATTCACATAAAGTTTAAGGTTTTGGTTTGTGGAATGAAAGGAGATGATTGAAAATAATAGTTTTATACCATTACTATTCCTACTTACTTTTCTACCAAAATATGGACCCCAAAAAAGTCCTTTCTGTTAACCCCATTTGTAAACATTATGTGTGCGTAGAGTCTTTTAGGTTTTAGCTTTTAAATTCTTGCTATACTACAGAGATGATGTTATTTACAATTTATTGGATTCCATGATTGTAATGAAGCCAAGCTCCATTTGATTAAATCACTTTTTTAAATTTGGTAAGAGAACCTGTGATTCAGCACTGAAAGAGGAGATTTGATTCTCTCAGTTTTCCCTTAACATGTTTCTTTTCCAACCCAGAATCACAGACTTGCTGCCAGCTGAAGTTCTGGTTACCCATAGGATGTGCAGCTTTTGTTGGAGTCTATATTTTTGGATGCATATTTCTTTGTTGGCTTACAAAAAAGGTGAGCGATGTCTATTTTTTCTTGCATTTGCTTTACTGAAGAATATCAGTAGTTATTTACTCATCAAAACACATATCACTCTAGCCAGAGTAATTTGATTAACAGACAGACGATTTCTTTTCCACAAGATATGCCTACTAATTAAACTACTAACTTGGCAGAGAAGCTTATTTATTTTACAGCTGCTTCAGTCTAAAAAAGGATTTGATGGCTTATAGAGAGAGCTGTTATTGTTATTATTCAAAAAAGATAAGGGAATCGGGGCCAAGAAAACACAAAAAGGCAGGACGAAGATTGAAACATAAAAATAGACGCTTTTGATTTCTAAGAATTATTGCATGCGGGCTGCACATTTGATTTTAAGTTTCCAGAGTCAGGGCAAAGAGGAAACAATCCGTTTTATGTTTCCCTCAACTTGTCGATTAAACAATCAGTGAGAAAGTCTTGTAAGCTGCCAGCAGTAGCTGAGAAAGAAATGGCCAGCCTCTTCCCATGGTAAGTTGCTAGGGCTCTGTTTTTAAAGAACACTAATATAACACTGTATGTAAACTAACTGAAATTAAAATTAAAAACTTTAAAATTAAAAAAATTTAAAAAATTTAAAAAATTTAAAAAATAAAGAACACCACAAAAAAGCTAGGGAGATAACTTGACAATGACAAAACAATCTTTCTGTGCTGGGGGATTTTCTTTTCAGTTGTTCACAATACAGATTCTCAATGAAAGAACTCACACCATTCTGCATATTACACAAGTATGCTAATACCCAAGTATATCCACAGTGTGATCATTGGCCAGACCGTGGGTATATCTGTGCCAGGATGGAATTTGGTAAGAAAGAGAAAGAAGGAAGACAGTGAGATAGGGCCCATGATTGAAATCTACAGAGGAAGGAACAATAAAAACAAAAATGAGGAAGGAAATTCGGCAGAAGCCTCTTTATTTAAAGCCCTTTTCATATTGTTCTCCTACTTAGCTGCAAGTCAGGAGCCTGAGCCGTATCCTAACATTTTTGTCACATACCACTTCAACCAAGAAGAGAAAACAGTAAAAAAAAAAGGAAAAAAAAAAGACCAGGGATGGAGATAAGGAAGAGCAGATGACAAACCATATTTCTGCCTTTTCTTCCAGAAATATCAATCCAGCGTGCATGACCCTAACAGCGAGTACATGTTCATGGCAGCAGTGAACACAGCCAAAAAACCTGGATTCACAGGTACCGCTCCATCTGGGGCTTTGGGCAGAGCAGAGTGTTTTTCACCTTAAGCCTGGAATTTTCATGGTTTATTTTAGAGGAAGGGCAAATGTCTCTAAGGCCCAATTTTAGATTTTTCCGTGAAATTCTGAACTTTCACTCTAAGTTTATACCCTCTGCAGTACATTGAAAACAAACAATAAGCCTGTAAGCCACTATTAAAAATAAACAAGCAAAAGATTCATAAGCCACTATTGTATCGAGGCAGTTTTCCAATCACTGTTTCAAAAACTGGGACGATTCTAAGTCTTCCTTGGTAAGAAGTTCTTTAAGTCACCTGATGAACATTTATCGGCTATCAGTGAAGTGCAAATTACTGAGTGAGGCCTGGGAGATACACAAACATGTGGAGGAGGGTTTTGGACACAGATTTGGAAGAGAGATCTGGGCCAGTGCTCCCCAGTGGGAAGAGGAGTCGGGGAAGCTAGTATTATTCTGATGAAAAGAAGGTGCAAGGTCAGAGAGTCTGGATGACTGACTGCACAAGGCCAGTTAGGTGTGACTTTGACTTTTTCCATTCAGAGTGAATATTGTCAATTCAAGGGTTGTTAAGCTGAGGAGCATCTAGGAGGTTTGAAGCATTCCTTGTGGAAAATTTGTAAGGCTCATGCCTTTGAGATGAAGAATGTAATAAGACAAAAGCCCCTAAATTTTTGCCACCATTCAGTGGTGAAGGACTTGTATAAATGGGATGCAAACAGCATCTGTAATCATGGACTTAAAGCATGGGAAGGGAGTTAATGCTCCTCAGGCTAACTCCTCATTTTTTGGGTGAGAGAAATTGATGCCCAGGGCGTTCAGTGATTCCTTTTGCTCCCTAGAGGTTTCCTACCATAGCTTTGTCACTAGCAAAGAACGTGTGTTTCATGGCTTTGCTATTGAAAACAACAACAACAACTTTTCATCTCTGTGCTTATAATAATGTGTCTGTTTTAGTTTGGATCCCTGAAAGCAGACCCTGAGACAGAGACTTGGGTATAAGTAGTTTATTTGGAAGGTGACGCCAGGAAAAAGGGGTGAGGGAGCAGGGAGAGCGAGACAGGCAAGGAGGAAAAGCAAATGAAGGTTGCATTACTGAGATCTCAGCTGGAGGCCACAGAGCTTCTGAGAAATGTTCAGAGGTCTCCCAGAATCATTCTTCCGAAGGGTGGCAAGTGTGGTTATCTATCCACTGGCTCCCATCCCCACTGGCTTGGGGTTGCCAGCAGGGCTCACGAGCTTTCCCTCACGCACCTGGAACAATGCTCTATGCTTGGAAGAGTGTCTCACAAGTCTTCAGAGAAAACCCAGAGGCAGAAAGCAGAGAAATGCACGGTGGGGGCTATTGTGCTAGAATGGACAGCATGTGCAGAAGTGTCTGCCCCAGCTGTGGCTGGAATCAGAGGTGGACATTTTCACACCCCACCTACCACGTGTAATAACCGAACATGGCCAGAGTGTAAGCTTCTTGAGGGTAGGTAGGGTCTCTCCTCTGTATTCTGAAACCACTAAGCAGACACAGGTTCAAGCAGAGCATGCCTCAGCACCTCTGTCAAATATTTATTGTATGATAATTATATGCATAATACCGTGCTGAGTAATTCGTGTTGGGTAGAGGGAGCGGAGACTCAAGAGAGTCCTTGTCTTCAGTCTGTGATGTCACTGGGAAAGCTGATGTGTTTGTAGAGAGGGTGGAATCGGGCTAGTGGCAAAAGTACTCAGTTAAGTGAAGTGTAGCATTCAGCTAACGTCTGTTACAGGAGTTAGGAGTGGGCTGGGAAAAACTTCACGGAAAATGCGGAACTGGTGGTGAGCCTTGAAGCCTAAAGAAGAGTTTCGATGGCATGTGCGTGTGTACAAGAGGCAGATGAAAGGGACAAACTTGTTGAAGGGAATTGGAATAGAGTGCTTTTAAAAATGTTGTGCTGCGTGTTGTTACAGGTGTGCCTCATACTTTGGAACTCTGTGGCACCCAGGCATGAACCACACTGGCCAGCTTCCCCTGCCATGAAGCGCAAGATTCCCACGTTCCCTGGACCGCAGAGAGTCAGACTTGACTGGAGTACATACATCTTCTGCTGGTGTTTTGTTCAATCTGGACCAGTGACTCTGTCAGTCAGAAGGGATTTTAACAGGCTGCTTCAGTACTGTGGGGTTATCAAAACACCCTCTTGCAACCAGTTTTATAGAAAGCCCAGCTCGTGCTCGCTCAACAAACAGACCTCACTGGGATGGAATTCCAGATCTTCATATCTGCTTCTAGCAATGCACCAGCCAGTAAAACAAACACATCTACAGATATTTTTAAGAGACGCCAAGGGTACTGAATCTGCAAAGCAAATGGGCAGCCAAGGGCCAGTATCTGTCTGCATTTCACTAACAGACTACCTCTTCTTCCTGTAGGAATGAGCATTCCTTTTGAATGAGATACTGGACGGAGAGGCTTCAGAACTGTAGCTATTTCTGAGGTGTCGACATATAACTGTACTATTATAATACATCAGTACACAGTACTCTTTTCAAACTTCTGAACACCAATCCCCCACTCCAAGAGTTTAGATGCCTTCATCTGCCTTCAATTTTCCTTTTTAAAATATTTCTACATGACCACTTGATGACAGACATTCTGAGCAGGGAGAAAGATCTACATTTCCCCCTCTACTTCTCAATAAAATACATATTCATTTAGCTGCAACTAAATATATGTTATATCATTTGCCTGTATTCTCCCTATAAGAATATTTTTGCTCCAGAAAGACATCTTATTTTCCCAAATTCAGTTAAAATGATTTACTTTGTTGACTTGTTTCGACCACATTAGTGGTAAAAAAAATTGCCCAGAATCAGAAGGGACTTTATTGTATGATTCTGTTTTCTACCATTATCTATGTTTTCATGGTGCTATTAATTACAAGCCAGGCTGTTTCTGAAGATCATGTTAAAATAGCAAACCAAAAAAAAAAAAAAAACAACAACAAAAAAAACCCAAACCATCTTTCCCTGTCAAGCATTGTCCTGGAGAAAGAGACAATGATCTATTCAGCAGAAAGCTGTGGTTCCTGGAGGTCACTTCCACACTGTAGCCACACTGACCTTTGGGCTTGACAGGTTGAAATGGTCCCATCAGCCTGGAACAGCCATCCAGACCTGGGTGGAATTCCAAAGGTTGAGAGACTCCCCTGAGCCCAGGACAACGATCTGCTCTCACCCACAGAGGCAGAAGTCACCCTGGGGACCATGGTGAGTCCGCCTGCATTTGTACTTCCGGGCTCTGGGAAGAAGCACAGATGTATCAGGGAACATCAACATGATTCCCTCTCCTAGGAAACATTCAGCCTGGAAACTGGCCCTGGCCCTTCAAGATAGGCTTTCTTTGAATACAATTTGGTTGGAAAGATTCCCAAATACATATAATCTGTCATTAGTCTTAGCTGGAATCTTTTCTCCACTTTCTGTTCGCATGCCCAATGCTTCTGAAGCAGCCAATGTACGTGCAACAACATTTTTAACTTCAGGTAAAATGGGGCTGTTTAGTAGTTTTAAAATTTGTAGGTGCCTGCTTATCGTGTTCTTTCAAAGCGAGACCAGATATGTCATTACGCACACTTAGGTTGTTGTAAGCGTGTGTGATGTTGGATGTGCGCAGTACAGTACTGCATTTGTAATTTGAATCAAGTACGGTGTTCTGCTTCTAGCTGACTCGGACGGTCTGGTTGGCTCCGCAGAGGTGTCCTCTGGGTGGTTTGCAGCTTGCTGGGGGGAGGGTAGAGTGGGGGTAGAGCCTTCCTGTGGGGTCCACCTGGCCTGGTTGTCCAAACTGTGCTCTGAAGCATCCTCATCCTCAGCACTGGACATTTCAAAGTGGATTATTAAAAGATACAATTTCTGTGAAATAAAGACTTGTTTTAAGGGGAGCTAATCATGAAATAGATGTTAGCAGTAGTAGGAAACTAAGGAATAAACGTTTGATGTTCAGCACCTGAAAATACCTCACTGTTTTCTTGGGGGGAAGGAAATGGTTACCTTAGTTGTAGCTAGCCCTTGCAAACTTGGCTGTCTTGAAGGTATTACACTGCTCAGAACAGTCGCTCTTCATTTTTTTCTTCTTCCTTTTTAAATATGGAAAGAACCACAGACTTAAAAAAGGTTGGAAGTACCGCAGAAGGACTCTTCTTGTCCTTGGTGAGTTTCTGGCCTAATGCCCTATTCACCCCTGAACAGTGTGTATTTCCTATAGACAAGAACATCTTTTCTCCATAACCACGATACAACCACCAGCATCAGAAAATTTTTTTCTTTAAGATTTTATTTATTTGACAGAGAAAGAACAAATAGAGGGAGAGGGAGAAGCAGGCTCCCCACTGAGCAGGGAGCCCGATGCAGGGCACGATCCCAGGACCCTGAGATCATGACCTGAGCCGAAGGCAGACGCTTAAACGACTGAGCCACCCAGGCGTCCCCCAACATCAGAAAATTAACACTGATATATTGCTGCCATCTCATCCTCAGGCTGTATTCAAGTTTGTCCGGTGTCCTTCTAATGTCTTTTATAGCAAAAGATTATGTTCAGAATCTCCCCTTGTACTTAGTTGTCATGTTTTTGTGGTGTCTTTCAGTCTGGGCAGTTTCTCCGTCTAGACCTGCGTGGCCTTGACTTTTGAATATTGCAAGCAGTCATTTTGTAAAATGCCCCTTGATTTGGGTCAGTCTGAGGTTTCTTGATAATTAAAATCAGTTATCGATCTTTGGCAAAAATAGCACAAGAGTGATGCTTTTTTTTTTTTTTAACAGCATCCTGTCAGGTGCCTCACAATCTTGATCTGTTACATTACTGATAATGCTCATTTCGATCACTCCACTAAAATGGTATCTGTCAAGCTTCTCCACCGTCAAATACTCTTTTCCTCTTTATAGGTTATAAGTAGTTTATGGGGAGGTACTTTGAAATCTTCTAAATCTTCTGTTCCTTATCAAATTTTCAGTGTATTCATTCGTTCAATTTTATCTGTATGGTTTCCTGTTTTATTCAACGGCGAAACATTTGTGACTGTCATTATCTTATCCTGATGCTTGCCTTGTCCCATTCCTGGCCGGTAGGAGCCCTGTCGACACTGCCTCTGGCTTCCTTCTGCCACATCCCCAGCACTTCCTTGCTTTCTGGCAGAACAAGATACTCCCGGGTCAGCTAGTGTTTTCCCATCCCAGTGCAGGCATCAGCCATTTCTCCAAAGAGCCCTGGGCTCAGGGTCATGAGATTGAGTCCTGCATCAGGCTCCACACTGAACGCGGAGCCTGTTTAAGATCTTAAGATTCCCTCTGCCACTGCCTCTCTCTCAAAAAAAAAAAAAAAAAAAAAAAATTCTCTGGTTTCACAGGGAGAGTTTTTAGTCTTTATGTTAATGAAGAGTATAATGACATCTAAGCATGGTTGTTTGACAAAAATACTGAATCTACATGTGACTTCTTCTTTGTCTGATCCCTCTCTACTCTTTTCTTCTGGCTCAATGGTCATAGTTCAAAAGGACTGCAGCTTGTCTAATGGACATGGCACTCTTCTATCAGTATTCCAATGATTTGGAAGTCCTGATGAAATGTTCTCTTGAGCTAGGCTAGGAAGAGGACTTGAACTCGAAATACAACAGAATGCCCCATCTTATATCCAAAACATCAGACAAGTTCCCCTAAAACCCCTAAAATAGAATCAAGATACCTCTGGACCAACTCAGAGTTACATTGAAAGAGGTGACACTCTACCAGAAATAATTTTAACTGAAAACATAGCTCTTCTCAGTCTTTTAAGAATATACCAAAATGGGAACGGGTTTCATTCTCAAAGCACAGCAAAGCTTCATTAACCAAACCACTTTTCCTCATTCTCAGTGCCTCTCATATGCCTGCAGGCAGCTCTCAAAGCAGCTCCTCCCTCCTTTTCTCCTCCTCAAGTCCTCTCCAAGCCAGCAGTACATCTCTTCCATCCCCTCCTCACATCGTCCCTTTCAAAGCACCTGATAAAATAGCTCTTTTTTTTTAAAGATTTTATATTTATTTGACAGAAATAGAGAGAGAGAGCACAAGTAGACAGAGAGGCAGGGAGAGGGAGAGGGAGAGGGAGAAGCAAGCTGTCTGCTGAGCAGGGAGCCCGATGCGGGACTCGATCCCGGGATTCCAGGATCATGACCTGAGCTGAAGGCAGACGCTTAACCAACTGAGCCACCCAGGCGCCCAAAATAGCTCTTTCTAATTCACATTGTACTTGTATAGGTTTCCCATCACTGCTATTACCAATTTCCACAAACATGGTGGTTTAAAACAACACAAATTTATTCTTTTATGGTTCTGAAGGCCAGAAGTCTAAAATCAGTTTCACCAGCCTAAAGCCAATGTGTTGGCAGGGCTACTTCTTCTGGAGACTCAAAGGGAGAATCTCTCTCTCTCTTTTTTTTTTTGCTTTCCCAAATCTTCTGGTGACTGCCAGCATTCTTTGGCTTGTCATCACTCCAGTCTCTTCTTCTGTAGTCACACTGACTTCGCCATTTCTGCTGTGGCATCTCTCTCTGCCTACCTCTTATAAGGATACTTACGGTTGCATTAGGTCCCACCTAGATAATCTGGGATAATTCCCCATCTCAAGATCCTTAACTAGGCCCATCCACAGAGTCCTTTTTGCCATACAAGGTAATTCACAGGTTCCAGGTATTAGGACTAGGATTAGGGATGGTCTTTCATGGACCATTTTTCAGCCAACCAGAGTCCCGTAAACACCAGGGATTTTGAGGGTGGGGAATCCTCTATGAATCTTTCTTTCCACTCCCAATCTGGGTTTCTATACTTAGTATTCCCCATTCTCTCCTCTAATTCTTTTTTGGAAACTCCATACCCTTCCTTGACAAAGCACCAAGAGTCTAAAGTTTCCCTATCCAGTGGCCTTGTTCCAAGTCTGAATCCTGTAGTTGTGATTAGTTTTAGACTTCAGCCCACTGGA